TCCCTGCCCGTGATGTTCCTGCATATCGGGTACTAAAATCGGAACCCGCTGTGGATCCGTGGAACAATCCGAAGCTTAAAACCTAGATAAATTTCTATCCACTTGTGACTTGGCTTTCTGGAACTTTGCTCTAGTTGGAAATACGATTATGATAGAACGTTTACTAGCTATCTCGATGGCTGTGCAGAGGGGCTCCGTTGTGATGAGGGGTTGTGGTTTCTCTTGGTTCGAACTTCGAACACCGGGGCTCGGAGTTTGGAAGAAGTGAACGAAGATCTTGATGACGATGTGCTATAGTCCTAAATCACCACGCCATACAGATATGATTCATTACTCACTTGTCTTTCCGGAACTTACCGAACAAGGAGATGCGAAGTCTAGATAGTTAACGTGTCCGGTGAGATGAGGGGTTGCGTGCGGTTTGGAGTTGAAATGTGAAGATCCTGAAATGACAATGTTGCTGCATAACAGGTACTAACGTCGGAGGCACCGTTGTTTCGTTCACGCGTTCATTAAACCCTAAATCCACATCACTGAATTGACAACTAAATTTTCAGCATTAAAAATGATCTACGCGTGCGTTTGTACATTTGTCTATGCTGTACCTTCCAAATCCAGTAGCTGTAGCAACGGCTGGCTGGATTGTTTCGCAAATTTGCAACGTTTTGTGATATATCCTACCGGTAACCAAATCCATGGGAAATTTTCTACATTACAAAGATATAGTAATTGAAACTGCATTTGGTTTGTATGATAGACCTTCCAAGTCAGGTATTCGCGACTTCTGAGGCTCGTAGGATAATATTTGCCGATATTCCGGGTATATATTTATCCATAGACGCTCTCCCTGGCCGCAGACTGCAGTATGCAACGGAGGAGTCGCCGTCCCGTGGTTCGGATTTTGCGACTACGCGTGCGTGTGACGATTCTGCTATTATGATGATGTGCCTTTAGAGTACTGTACAAGGGGTCCAAAGGGACCTAAGTAAGTTGCGTTCCCTGAACCTTCCCTGTGTTCGCCCTGCATCTCAATTTGGAAACTTCCGTTCCCCGAAGCTACAGACAAGCTAACGGTTCTTCGCTTACTGGTTGGTTGCTTACCGAATTACGACTTGCTTTGCATGATTGCTTTGACCGTTCCAGAAAAAAGCTTCTAGAGTTTCTAGCATTTTGCCTGATTTAGAAACCCCGGCGCGTTAGTTTATCCGTATTCGCGATTTTATGCATCTGCACCTCCGGTCGAGACTGGGGATAGATTACCAAACAGGCGTATTGGATAAGTCATGATTTTGAATGAAAGTCTAAGCATAAAAGTGCAACACAAACTTTACCGCAGCATTTAGCTACGGGGCGGTGCGAAAGCAAACGGAAGGTTCATGGGCTTGAGATGCTGGCTACATACTCCCCGGGGCTTTTAGGATTCCGTCAATTTCGGCCGGAGGTTGATCCAAAACTTTAGGTTCTCCGGTCCAGATACGAGGCTTTGTGCTTCAGCTTTGATACAAAAATGATAGAGAGATTCGATGGGCTTGTCATGTGAATGATGTTGTCCCTGCATCTGTCATATGGAACAAACCGCGGGTTGGCTCAATCCCACACGAGTTTGAAGGGTGGAACAAACCAAACACTACCGCCCGTTGGTAGAAACTTCCCCAGCTCTCGCTACCGGAACTTCCCGGTGGTTAAGTACTCTAGAGTTCTGCCTGTCGGGGAATTATCCAGAAGCATTAAGATTTCCGTTAGACTTTTGATCTCCGTCATGGAACTATGGTTTCGAATGAAGGCTTGATATCCTCGGACTAATGTTTTTGCTTCACAATCACGGAAGTTGCCATAGATGCATATGATTGTGAGACTTTCTGAAATCTTCCATCATGATACCAGCTCGGGGAACGATCCCGATCCAGAAATCTCGGAGCCACCGACAGACGACGTCAAAGCTTCTCGTACAAAGCTTTACCGGCCCGCACCTCATCATCATCTGCCAAGATGAAGATGCTCCTCCCGGTAGGCTAAATCCTTCGTCGCTTCGAGCGGCCTTTGGAATAACCTAAGTATCAAGAAGCGAGACATCTACGAAACGCTTTTGCCTTAGGCTTTTTGACAGTGATTACGACGCGTCAGCTCGTATAACAAGTTCCAGAGTTTTTGGGTGGCATTATCAACGTTCATGGTTGGGTTTTTTAGAATCTAGGAGTGAAGCTTGTAAGAGATTGTAAGGTTCTTACACCGGGGTATGGCATGCAGAAAAGTTTTATCTATGAGCTGTCAGATAATCTAGAGACAATATACGTTTTCACCGAAGTTGACAAAGTGAGTCGAAGACTGGACTCGGCCATAGATAGAATGTGTAACCTAATGAGGTCCACATATCCATCCCGGAGATCTGAGGGATTATGGTATGTAACTCCGGTAGGGAGAATTTTGAAGATCCAACCGCAATGTAAGGTCAGCTAGAACGTTCGATCGGAAAAATTGTGCTAATCAATCGATAATAATGTCTCAGAGATTACGTTAACTCAACGGCCGAGTTATGAATCACTCGCTTTATCTTGCCGTCGGTATTTTGACACACGTGAAAGACATAACATAACACATGGCTGTCGCGTGGTATCAGATTTCAGTTTCACCGCTCGCGGCTCAGCACACGACAGCGGCTTGATATTGCAAAGTTCTCACACATTCCTACAATGCTCGGATGTAACTTCCATTCATCCACAGAGTTTCATGGCTACTGCAACTGACGGAGACCATCCTCCGCAGTGACTCCTCATGATCTCGGAACAATAACCACATCCACATCCGGCGCTTCATCTCTGTCAGCCATCTTGATTCTTCTCACATTTGATCACTCGAAACTTGACAGTTGGGATCAGAATCACTCACCCCATCCACCATTCACTCCTTCAATTTTCATCGTGTTCCCACTGCCCTTAACTAAGCCCGCCGTAAAGCTAGCCGTAAACACCATTTGTCCTCCTCCGCTCGGTACGAACGCTACTCGTTGTTTTACGCCATTGACAGTCACGTCTGCAAACCTCTGGGTGCTGTCTCCATTGGCGTATCGAATTCTCACTGTTGTCAGCCCAGTAATATCGGTCACAATGTTATTGATAGTCAACGCCCCACCGCTTGATCCTCCGAGGTAGCCGACTGAAGTTCCGCCCGAGCATCCGCTACAAGACAGCTTCTGAGAACCACCGGAAATGGTGCCTGATTCGGCTTCATAACTAGTATCTGTAGGTGCTGTAGACCAAGTCCCCGCGGCTACATTGGGGATCCAATTATCGTACCAAGTTAGGGAAGCAGTGGTACCAGAGACGGTGAGAGGAAGCCAGATGTAGGTAGAGGCCATTAAGTTGGAGGGGGTCCACCGGTCACCCATGAACATAGCGAAGGAGTTGGAGACGGGGAGGATAAACGAAGTTTGTGAGGTGAAGGTGTTGCTGCCGACTGGAGCGAAGGTTTTCCAGGCGGACCAGGGACCGGAAAGACTAGTTGCGGTGGAGTAGATGTTGTCGTTTGTGTCTAGAGTAGTTCATCAGTAGTCATTCGTAAAACGAGCGACCATAATCACAGTGAGAGAAAGGGTGGCTTACTCCATCCTGTAAGATGGCTGCCGAACATGAAGTAGACGCCGTTTCGCTTGAGGATGGCGGGTGATTCGTATTTCTCGGCCCAGGTGTAGACATTAGATGTGACGTTCAGGTAATCACTCGAAAGGCGGTCGATGCGGAGTCCGTTGGAGCGCTGCGTTGTGTTAGCATGGCTAGTCATATATCAGCACTCGGCTTTCTCACGTCTTCGGTCATCAGATATGCTGTTCCGTCGTCATCTTCATCCGTTAGCATTCGCTTCCCTCAATCCAACAATGAACCAAACCTTTGAACAATCCCATATCTCTACTCTCAAATCCAAGTGGCCTCCAGCTCCCTCTGTAGGTGAATTTTCCGCAAACACTCGTCCCCGTCGCCACACCGACCTTTGCCTCACCGTAGTTGGAGCTGTCGATATGCATATACATAACATACTGCTCCGTCGCATCATTGTAAATAACCTTTGGCCGTTCCACCACTCTGTTAGGCCCCAGATCGCCGCTGCTCTGTAGCGTTAGGAGTTCTCCGACGTAGGTCCATTCTACCAAGTTGGTGGAGGAGTAGCAGTTGATGCTTTGAAACGAGGAGCCGTTAAGCTTGTTTTCGCCAATGAGGTAGTAGGTGTTGCCGACTTTGGTGACACCGGGACCGTGGGCTTGAAGATGGGCACCGTTGGAGGCTGTCCAGCTGCCGCCGCTGACCTACGGAGGTTAGCGGGTGGATTAATTAACTAAAGTCTGGGGGATGGGGAGATGGACGATTTGAAGGCTCGCGTTGGCGAGAGAAGTCAGGGAAGCCACGAGTGCAAGCGAAAGAAGTTGGAGATTCATCGTGAATTGAGTTTGGAATCAATAACTCTGCAGAATCTCGGAAGAATCTCGGACTGTTTATATTCGCATCGCCATGTTTCGGCCCGTCCGACCCTACGTCGTCGACCAAATAGGCTCATTGACCTCTGGAATAATCCGTCACAGTGCAGAGCAATCAATGCAACTTTCTCATCACAATACATTCAATCCAGGCATACACAATGCCACTTCGCGAAACTCCATAGATTATTGCGAGCGTTCATGAAGACTGCGGGGTAGCCTGCAAGGGCGTTTTGGCTATTCAATCTGGCGGAAGATCTTCGGCGGAAAACATCGATGTTATCCGGACGATCAATCTAGAGTTCGTTTGATTAGACATTCATCGCAAACTGGATGGGGCAAGACGTCGGGGGTCTTTATACCTACGCCGAGAAGGCACATGACGCCGATGATGATGGGGAAAAAGAGAATATAGCTGTGAGCCTTTGCATTGTGTAGGGTAAAGTGGATGTGTCATGCGAAGATCTTTAGGCACACTCTAGGGCACTCTTGTCTGGCGATGGCGTTGAGGGCAAGGATATGAGGGAAAAAAGAGTGGAGAACTTGGGAATCGAACCCAAGACCTTTTCAATTCACGTCACTGTAGAATGCGAATGAAACGTTATACCCCTAAACCAGATCCCCACTAATAGTAATAGTAAATGTTTAAACTTTTTATGAAGCAAATATAAACTAAAGCTTAATGGTAAGTGGAGTAATCATGAACCGCTGTGGATGCGGACGCGATTACTCGCGACGCCGATAGTGGAGCTGCCGGTCTTTAGCGCAGCGACTGTGTACAATCAGAGTCGCCTGACAAAACTGCCTCTTCACCTTGGAGTGGCTACGCGCGAGGTTAAGTATTCTTCGATCGGCAGTGTACAGTCACTGCAGTCATGTCCGAGTATTTTTCGTCAACGACCCCGGAACCACTATTCAGGATACTCAACTCGTCGCAAGAACCCCTTTAAACGCCACGCGCATACACATGTTGGAACAATCTGGCATTTGGTTAATTGAATTGCTATTTAGAGGAGGAGTAGATTTCCTTGTGGTGAAGTAATTCGTTGGGAAAATTCCACACATTGGTTTCGTCGAACACGCATCTCGTCTTCTCATCAGAATGGATGTAATTGGTATTTAATGGGTTTACATATGAGCCGTAAGTATGTCTCCAACAAACGAAGTACAGCGCACGTGGGGAAACCGATTGAGATGCTATAATTAGGTGTACGGAGCGGAACCATGCGAGTCGGACTTTCACCGGCAGCCCGCTAAACAGGTAGGGCGCTTAAACGAAGCCCGCCCGAAAGCATATCAGGGCGCCTATTGGTCGAAAACTAGATGAAATCGGAGGATTCACAAGTATTCTAACTTTAAACAGACTAGTACGCGCCGGAGCATAGGGGTTCTTCGCTTCGATTTACAGGATCTCCAATGCTAAACTGGAGTCGGCTACAAGGACGATATAAACGGAGCATGAACTCAACTTGCAGAATCGACGGATCATGCCTGCGCATCTTAAGCGCTCATGATACGTCTATCCTGAACCGCTGTAGATGAAATTATTTTAAAATAGCGCCATATCCGCACGATTCATAAGGCGGCGTTCCGCTGCCCGTCTGATGAACGAATCAAAGGGCCTTTCTGCGGCAACATGATGCCTACACTCGCTGCGCGAGCCTCAACTTTGAGTCAACCGCCATCGAAACCTCTTCCGCCTTCACCACCGAGGAAATCATCCTGGATCTTCGGCAATGTTGGATGGCGTCCATTACCGCTCCGGAGTGGCTTTCTTTTCGTCTTCGCCCTAGTAACTGCTGCTTTCATCGGGGTGCTGGAATTCATACTTGAGAGATCGCAGAATAATGGGGCGGCTTTTTTCCCGACTACTGTATTTCAAGATCACTGCGTCAACTACATCCCAATTATAGTCGGTGTGTTATACGGTCTGGCATTTGCAAGTGTTGATCACGATATAAAGGTTCGATTGATTCCATGAGTCTTTTTTGTTAAACTGTCTAACGTTTAATTGTATAGCGCCTGGAGCCTTACTTTCAACTTTCTAAGCCTGGAGGTGTGACTGCGGAGCATTCCCTCTTCCTAGAGTATCCATATACACTCGCTCTTACCGCCCCTTTAACTGCATTACGGAAGAGGTAAATCACGGCTTTTGATGGGAAGATCGAAAATTTCTGACAATAGATAGACACTGGGTTGTCGCATGCTCTTCTCTAATACTTCTTTTGATAACCTTTGGTACTAAGATCACACTTATGTTAAATGTCTATCTGGATCTTCACTGACATTTGTTCAGGTGTGACGCCTCTTTCCAGTGCCCTACTGGGAAAGGACAGCGTTCATCGGACTTCAACATTTCCTATTACAAGAGCGAGCTTTCTGCCACTTGGACAACAAGAAACAAACCTCTCTGCGGCATTCTCATACGCGGCATACAGTGCGCAATACCTGAATGGAAAGTTACCGCCATTTACGACACCAGACTATGGAGTGCTACCTTTCAAACCTAACGATGCAATCAAAACAATCCCTGGCGAACTATGGCACGCAAACACGACTATTTATGAAGCCGGTCTCAACTGCACCCCTGGAACCGTTAGTACTTTACCGGAAATGGACGAGGACGGTGAATGGAGAGGGAAACAAGTTCAAGTGTCCAACGCCGACGGATCCTGCAAACTCATCATTGAGTCGGATTGGGCGGACAAATATAGTCCATATGTCGGATGGATGATCAACGAGCGTTTTATTCGGTATAGAAGCGTGCTTCTTTACCACTATGAATCGGATAAGATTGTTCAATGCTCGGATGATAAGTTGAAGGACATTATGGTGGGATTCTGGGGCCGTCTTATTACTCCAGAGTTGACCTCCGATGAAGATGTTTCGCAGTTCATAAAATATGGTTTCAACAAAACAGCCGTGGTCTTTTGCTATCCGAAAGCTACAGCACAGGATGTGGAGGTCACTATAAACCCCGAGTTTATGGATGTCCAGGAAATCCAGAGGAAGGAGGCGACAAAGAGGGATTTTGACGGGTTGAACTTTACGTACTGGAACAACATCCTTGTCGGCCAACAAAGCGCAGCTCTGACGGGATCTTTCAACTTGTCGACAGGGATGGTTATCCCAAAGAACCGCGGGTCTGTCTGGGACTCATTCAGAGGCGCAACTCCTGTAAGGAAGCAATACACAGGAAAATTCCAGGGCTTACCGGACCACACATCTCAGTTACTTCGGCGGCCACAATTCCAGACATTTTTAGAGGACTTTGGAGCTCGTCCTATGCCAGACCAGGCAGAAGTTTGGAAGCCTGTCAAAAAACGCCAGCTTTTGTTCGATTATGATCCAACCAAGGGGCCTGGTTTAACTGGCTATATTAGACCCATCAACACTTGGATTCCGAACCCGAATTCGTTAACGGCTTTTGGGCTGACGAGGCAAAACAACCTGGAAGATTTATTCGACCACGATACCCTTACCAAAATGTTCTCGACGGCTTATAACTATCTCTTTGCCGTGGCAATTGGAGCTGGTCTTACTCAATACGATAATTCCGCTTTGGCGCGGCGATCCGTTGAGGACACGCTTGCACAACGACAATACATGCAGATTGGCTACGTCGCCGATCTAACATGGATAAGATGTTCGCAGATTGTTTTATCGGTTATCTTGGCCATAAATACTATTCTGATGGCGCTGTTATGGAATAGGAAATGCAATCTATCTGGGGACCCCGGTACACTTGCCTCAGGAATGGCCAGTACTGACAAAAGAGTACTCCGGGAGTTTGAAGATTGTGAATTTATGAGTGAGAAGGAGCTACTAGCTCTTCTCAAAACAAAACGCTACTGGTATTGTCTATGTGAGGACATGGTTATGATAAGTCAAGAGCCAATAAATCCGGTCAATAACAACACCCTAACACTGGATCGCGACAAGGTCACATGCCATAAGCCGTGGAGTCTTACTTTGTGGGCTGGTATATTATCAGTACTCTTGTTGATGGGAACTGTTGTTCTGTTGATAGTGTTATTTGTGCAGAACATAAAAGATGGCGGATTCCAAGTCCCAGGCAACAACTTTCAGTACAGTCTTTATTCTTCGTATTTACCAACCATTGCTGCAATGGCATTTGAAGCCTTTCTGGTTCTTCTTGCAGGACACGTCGCCCTACTATATCCCTTCAAACAGCTTAGACACGAACGGAAATCCTTTCCCGCTGGACCTCTTGCTATCAACTACGACAATATTCCGCCGCATTTTCAGCTATTTGGCGCCTTGAAAACACGAAATTATCTTCTTGCAACACTCAGTACTTCTGTACTACTCGCAAATATAATTGCAGTTGCCCTCGGAGTCCTATTTCAAAAAGACTTCAGAGAATTCTACGAAACTGGAAGTGTAATAGTTGAAGGGTCGACCACTGCTCTCAGTCAATTCAACGCCACTACATTGGATCAAGGAATGCAGCATAGAGAGTATGATATGTTATACGCCTCTGCCGGAGATTCACTCGGATTCAACCGGCGTCCATGGACTAGCGACGAGTATTTCTATCTCAGTCTTGCCGACAAAGCTACTGATCCCAATCCTCGGGCAAATTACACTGCTAAAACTTGGGGGATTGGAATCGACATTACCTGTGCACCACTTGCGGCAAGCGAAAGGAACACGTCTTGGTACGAAAAGCTTGTAAACGAGCCAAAAATGGATACCTATAAGTTTACACAATCGACAAACGCGTGGTTCCATCAAGTTGTTACCCCCGGGGAGGACGTGAATAGAAATTGGACATTTTTTGCGGCATGGATAAAATACGAGGGTGATCCAACGACAATTGAGTTTCCATCCGTATTTACATCTTCGGACCCATGGTTGGCATCGTTTACGAGTAAACTTGATCGAATCCTCTCCGAGTCCTCGCAAATACCTAGGCTCATTCCTGCGCCAACCATTACGGCTGTACCTGCTATAGCACCGGCACCTTCGTCAACTGATCAGCCCAACTTCAAATTTGTCGACACGATATCGATAATGCCTACCAGAGCCTCTTCGTTTCGTTTCCCACGAGCAACCAAAACGGTAACAGTGGGTGGAACTTTGAGAGCCAGCTCACAGTCTTTCGCTAGACCAACTATCACCAACCCTGCTGACTTTATGGCACCACAAGTAATGATAGCTGGCCGTGACTTGAAAGCACGCGAGACGGTTTCTGGGGTAGGAAAGATTAAGAGTAACGTAATCACTTGTAACCAGGCGCCGAAACTTATACGACGGCAAATCGGTGTAACAAACCTTACTACCGGTGCCATTCGCAGCGAAGATGAGATAGACACTGCAGCAATTCCGGATCCCAAAGATATGGCCGCTCTCAACAACATTATCAACAATTTCAAGACGATGCTACTACGAGTCAATGGTCTAGATAAAGAGAAAACTTTCATTCAACCCGGCCCACAGAATTGGATGACCTACCTCCTACAAAAAGATGCCATTCAAAAAAACAGTGACTTCACGCTGTATGATAGCCCCGAAGAGAGTGCTCGTGCAATGGAGCGTGTATATAAGCGTCTGTTCGCAGTATACATGCAGCTACACTCTAACGACATCTTCAACTCTAC